GGCGGCAAAAGAGAGTGTTTACAAAGGCATAGACTCCCAACTATTATTACCCTGGACCGACCTTAGAGCCTGTTGGAAACAGAAAATGTTAAAGGATTTTTACGCATGGGGCTACTCATCGGGAGCACACAAAGGAAAATATTACTTCGATAATTACTTCGCTGATGTACCTTACCCCTGGTTCAACAAGATTAAGCTCCACCGGAAGCCCATCGTCACGCTCAACAGACTTCGAGCCGGGCACTACTGCCTGAAAACCCACCTCCATAGACTCAACATTGTTCCCCATGCGATTTGCGACTGCGGAGAAAATATCGAATCTCCCAACCACATCTTATGGCAATGCAAACGATTTGATGCGGCACGAGAAGACATGCTCAGGAACCTGATTAAGCGCAATGAATACCCCCCGTACAAGATCGAACCCCTCCTCAGGGACATGGACCCTGGGATTATTGCATCGATTGCTCACTACCTAACCCGCATCGACATCACCATTTAATGAACATACATTAGTCCTTGCTACATAAATTAGATACAAACCGTATCTACTCCACCAACATCCGCCTTCACTTAGCCACGTATTTCAGTTTAGACCTACTCATCAGCATGCTATAAACCTGTTTCATATTAAGCCTACTTGTAAACTCAATGTAAATATGCCTTAACTCTGAACCTATTTGTAAGCATGTTACAAATTCTAACTTAAGCTTGTAATTGGCAGAATGGGCTGTCCAGCCCGACGCCAAATTCTTATATCTCACAAAAAAAAAAATCTTCTCTTCGACATGGCAGAAGAAACCATGGCAAAGTGGGGGCATACATATATGAAAAAGTAAATTTTCAGTATAACAGTGAACTAGAAAAGTTTCTTTTGCAGTACCTTCATGTACCGCTAGATAGTATCATTAGAAGTGCTGTGTGGCTTAATTCTCCTTACCGATATATTCGAAGTGGAGATGAAAGATTTCGCGCGGTGCTAGATGTAGTAAATAGTAGTATATGTAGCAAAACAGTGAAAGAATTAGAACAGTTATGGAATTCTTTGGAATATAAATTTTGGAATGACAGTTCAAATGTAGATTTCAATTGTTATCTTGCTTTAGAAGAAAGTGTAATATTAACTGAGCAATTTTTACTGTATCAATTTACTCATGAAGAATGTGTTAAAGAATTTTTGATAAATGTCTTGCAGTTGTTGGACAGAAAGATCGCAAAAAAAAAATTGCATGGAAATAATTGCTCCTCCTACAAGTGGGAAGAACTGGTTTTTTGATTCAGTGTTAACTTTTTGTATATCGAGTGGCCAAATAGTGAATGCTAATAAGAACACAAATTTTCCTTTTGATCATTGTTTCAACAAGAGAATTTTGTTTTTCAATGAACCAAATTTTGAACACTCTTTCGAAGACAAGTTATTAATGTTATTTGCAGGAGATCCTTTCAATGATCAAGGGAAATATAAAAACATTGCTTGAATTAAAAGGACTCCTATAATTGTGACTTCAAATGTGTCAAGGTTTAAGAATGAATCAAGATGGAATGATAGGATGTTTCGTTTCAGATGGAATAGAGCAAAAATGTTGAAAGATGTAAAACAGAAATGTCATCCTTTGACTTTTGTAACTTTATTGAATAAACACAAATTATGGTGATATACATTCTTTAGGATATTGTTTCAGGATAACATCCATAATAGTTTCCTATGTTCCTCTTTGCTATTGTAATTGGCAAATCAACTGATCCTAATTGATGGATTTTTCCAAATGGAATTACTATAATGTTTTTCCCATATGTGACTTGTAACATTTTCATTGAATGTTACTAATTCAATTTCATTCTCAACAAGATAGAATAATTGTCCTTCTTGATATTCAATAGTATCTTGCGTAGCTGTAACTGCAGGTATCTGTTCCAATCCAACGCACATGTATTTTGGAGGTTCTACATCACTCCTACTTTGTTGTTGGAAGAAATTCAAATCTGGCTTATAAAGTGGTGTATTATAATTGAAATTGAATGTTGATACCTCCTCGATACCAGTCACATTACTTGAAGCGAGACTGTTTGTAGACGTTCTACCTAATTTGAAAGTTACATCTCCTCCACTGACAAAGAAATTTCTCCTCATAGGTAAACTCATATTGTATAGATTTGCAGAGTTTTGAACTCCAACTCTAGGCCATCTACTGACAGTACAGTCAGATACGGGCATTAAACCGTAATTGTTACGACTTTCTAACAGCAAAGTGTTTGCATTGTTTATATGTATTAGACGATCATAAAATGTACCTATATTTGGCCAACCTTCTGTAATTGTCGTGGACGACAAATTTACTTCACTACATAAGTTGAATGCAAGATAGTAATTATTTTCCACAGGGAGACCACAAATTGCAGGAAGATATGTAGTTTCTTCTCTTCCAGCTGTACCCCAAAGGAATCCCGACCAGTAAGATGCCCAAGCATCATTTTCCACGAGATCAAAACTTACAGGAACCATGGGAGCTGCAGCAGCTACGCTAATACTTCCTATCACTGAAGGCCATTTATCCTCTATACCTATACCACAATGTATATATAGCTGATTATTATTGGTAGCTGTACTAATGTCTGAACTATTTGCTTGAAAACTAGTTCTGGCATTTAAGAAATAAAATTTCTGTGATGTATGTTTCACAAAAGTGTCTTTAGGCAATCTGCTATACTGAGCAGGACTCATATATATAGCTAATACATCACTAGGTATACAGGACATACAGGTAGTTAAATAATCTTGAGTTTGATTACTAACACCTTTCAACAATTTCCTTTGAGCATACGCGTGACTGAAAAAACGCCAATAAGTTTTGAATTTCCAAGTATGAGTATTTTGAATTGGAGTAGTACTACGCAAATGACTGATGTTTCCAGTTCCACCGGTATCAATACCACCTACAGCACCTTCTCTTTGAAGTTGATCTGTATTTACAACACCTTCCATGTTACTAGGTCCAGGAGCACCTTGGTTCGATTGTGGAGCACTGTTTAATTTTTTCTTCCCTTGAGGACTGCTAGCCGAATCAGGTTGATCTTTGCGTTTGGTGGACATAACTTCCGTTTATGAGTATTGTTATAGGTTTAAGTAATAGTGCAGGTTGAACCCAACCTTTTACTGAACAATGTTTTAGAAATTCAAATTCTATTTCACTTGCATCGAGTGGATTCCCTTGTTCCGCATTACCATTAATTTTAGCAACGAACTTACGATATACAGTACCAAAGTCGTCAGAAGCATCATATGTATACTGATGATGCCAAAAAGGTATATGACCAGTCTCCCTTTGGGGATCAGGAAAGATTGGTTGAGCATGTTGTTGGTTTCCTGTGTTAATTGTAATTGGGTCAAATAAGGAATCGGTATCAGATTCTTCTGATGTTCTGGAACTGTCAATATTTTCACAGTCTTCCTGACAATTTAATTAACGGCACAGTCTCCTTAATTTCCAGCCATTTCTTCTCAATCACCTTTGACCACTATCTCCAGAAATCAACTGAATTAAATTCCTCATAACCCAGCAGGCGGGAATCCTGAAACTTAAAAACTTCATACATGGTTCTGTGAAGTAATTCTGTCCCAGTAACATACCATGCAGGCCCATAGGGATGTGAGACATTGAGACTGTCAGGTTTACATAATGTCTGTCCTGTACCGCCCAGGAAGATTATTAATACTCATCTGTGATAGAGTTTCATTTGACAGCAGGGGCATAGGGTGCCTTGAATGTTTAAAGCAGTTCATTTCTTAATTGCATACCACCGTGGAAGGTATCAAGACAAGAAAAGGTGACATCATTCATGCAGTTCAGAAACAATTAACTTATCTTAAATCAGTGGATGAAACTGTAACCCAGAATGCGGTCGGGTTGGCAGCAGCGGCCCGCATTCTTAAAAATTTTGATACTAATGCTTTGAATTATCATAAAGTTTAGAATAATACTGTTAAAATTTTGGAGAATAGGAAAGAGTATAAATTAAAATGGACTTTATGGCAATCCATTTACAACAATCAGTGATGCGCTTATAGGAAGGATTAGAAACTAGCGTTACAGGTAGATTATCTTCAGTTTTGATCCCTCCCCATAACTTATCCGCAATTTTATGATAAGTTATTTTAAAGTTGCCCCAGGATGTTTCATTGATGGCTGGATTCACAATTGAAAATATGTATATATACTACGAAGTTGCAACGGTGCAAGCTTACGCCACCACGACGGCTATTCGACTCGTAGTGCGAATTCCATTACGAGGTGCAGATCGAGTTATGACCCTTTTTAGAAGTGTACCTTTGCCAGTTCACTTCAGTCTTAAGTAGACATATTCAGATAGAACAAGAAACACCATATTTGGCAGTGACTGAAAATGGGCAATAATACTCACTTTTAACGATGGCAGACTTACAGAAATGTAAGCTTGGTTTATATGCGATTTGTGAAGCCACTTTTCCATTTATACATAAGACCCGAACATCATGCTCTTCGGCTTTGTATTTCGGCCACATAGAATTTGTACATAAAAACTGTCAAAAATTTATCCTTAATGAAAATGTTACTCCTGTATGGCTTCGGGCAAAGGGATCTCATTCCTTTTGGATTTATAGTCTGCCCTCGCCAACAGTTGTGACCAAGAAATGTACAGTCAATGGAACTACCCAGAGTTCTACTTTGGAATTATCCCACACGGGCACTTTAACTGAAGACACTGATTGTCAGTTTTATTTGGAAGCTTTTGTTTTGTTACCGATATCAGACGGATACACCAACATGACCATCACCGGCAGCCCAATACTACTTCCATGCCTGCCTCAGCTGATGTCACATCAGGAGCACGACCAGATCATGCACGACGAAGCAGGGACACACCGGACACTCGCTGCCTTGGAAAGCAGCCCTGTGAAACTCCCATAGGGGAGAGGGAAACATGCAGAACAACCATCTATATTCATCAACATAAACTAGGTAGTCTGGAAGTGACTGGAATCGATCATTATACACCTATCGCATTCAATCGAATCGCAAAGTGTGAGCCAATCAGAGGATCTTAAATTTCCGTTGAAGATTTTGGGTGTTGCTCAGTACCTGCGTAGTTTGTCCGTATATGTGTAAGATACTAAGGTATGTTGTGCAATTAATTAGATTAATTAGTAAGTAGGGACTTCGATTTGATGTTGTGAAACGAGAGTCGACATTTACGCGTGAATTTACATGTGTGTGTTACTTATGTATATGGATTATGCTTACTACGTCCAGAAAAATTAGAAACAAACATGAAGTCAGTGTTACTATGATACGTCAGCCAAAACGTATTTCTGTATTTTAAACACCTTTCGGTGTAGCCTGAAGAAGGACCGTAGAATCTTAACAAAGTGAGAGTGTACTGTGATTATGTTATAATTTTTGTATTGTTTCTTGCAGTAGAAATGGGAAGAAAGAAAAGGTGTTTTGCACCAGGGTGCATGTCTTCCAGTGACCACACTGGAATGAAATTCTTCCATTTTCCCTGGAATTCAGCACGGTATGAGCCAGATCTGAAATATTATTATAAAACATACTGTAATATTTTGGCCAGTGTTATTACAACATCAATACCAATAATCTTCAACATTTTCTGTGATCTGAAGAAAACCTTTGACTGTGTCAATACCTGTCTGTCTATCTCTCTGTCTAAAGTAGAATTTTATGGAATAGTTGGTAAGGCCGATGCACTGATAAAATCCTATGTGAAAGATAGGTACCAAAGGGTAAGTCTATTTTACTCACTGGAGGAATAATTTAACTTCATTATTAATTAATGATCTTGGTCCGTTATATGCTGGATGCCTAGTAGTATACTATTATGTTTCATTATTGTAGTCTTGTGTCATTAGTGTGCTGCATTCTCTCACATATATAGTTTAAAACTTTGTTAATGATTTACTCACTCTGATTTGTCTTTGATAATATGTGTAATTGTTATGGGTTAAATATAATTAATTTTTATTTATATCATTGATGGGACTTGTCCTGTTGTCTTAGACTATTACTATATCCACTGTTCTTCCAGCCGTGTAAAGATTAACGGTTTCAAGATGATTCAGGATTACAGAAGGTTATTAAAGTAGAGGAAAGCGGTGCACAGACCAACTGCACTGCGTTTGATCCGCAGATGCGAAGGACGGTTGAGAAAAAGTTCACGTACTAGCTAAATTGAGAGTTATTACGTTGACGAATTTGAAAGTGATTGGGTCGACGTATCAGCTGTGGGCTGATGGCCTGCCAGACCCCCTCCCACATTTCGTTGAAGTTGTAACTGTCCAGTTATGTGATGGTCAACTGATGCTTGTGTGTGGTTAGGGTTCTGTGAAATTCCTCACTTTCTTCTCACAATTTGATATTTCCCCCCTGGGACTTGCAACATGTGTCTTGGGTCAAGCTGGAAGCCAGCTGCCCAACCGTAAATCAGTGAAATTAATGTGTAACACAAGGCCGAGTTCTTTAGAAATTCTAAACTTTACAGGGGAAGTCATAATTTTAGCAGCATCGTTTTCTGCTACCCCAAAATCTGTTTGACAGCCACGCAGCAGTAGGACCTCTACCTATGACGGAAACTGGCATGAAATACATTCTGACTTGTCAAGATAATCTTAGCAAATATTTTATGGCTATACCTTTGCAAAATCAAATGCGAGATGAAGTCACTAAAGCTTTTGTTAAGAATATTATACTAAATTATGGAATCCCCACAGAAATTGTGACAGATCAGGGATCTAATTTCATGAGTGACGTCTTTAAACGAATCTGTAAGTTATTCCAAATTGAGAAAATTTGCACAACAGCATATCACCCAGAGAGCAATGGAGCCTTAGAAAGAAGACACAAAACGCTTACCAGTAATTCAGGCTGCTTCTGCGATACAAAATTAAATAACTGGTAAAACACCGTTTCCCTTCAACCATATGTCAGCGGTCTCATCCTCATCCAAGGGCGATCCACATAGGGGCCTACATGTGTGTTGACTTCTCTAAGCCGTATACCCAATATTTAGCATCAGGTGACCTTATCCAAATAGGTTCAAATTCTCTTAAAAGTACTCCATTGATTCCAAATTGACAAACTGCTCAAATAGGGTGCCCAACAGGCCTTGTTCATGATCAGGAATATTCCATAGCTATATTGTGGTCTCTCCGAAATTTCTACCCAGATGCGCGAGTTATCCCACCTCCACGAGAGCTTATTGCTGACCTTATTTGTTATCTTCATTGTCTTCTTCCATCAGATATGGTTGAGGGACAAGGACTATTGTTGTGCCCGGACCCTTTCGGGAATTGATTTTGATATTTTAAATTATTTTATTAATGAAAGAAACATGAAATTATGTTTGAGCCAGAAAGATGAAGTCAACTACGGAAACAGACACCGCTCCTGTTTACTGTGATTCATGAATAATAATTTCTGTTAGTCAGCCGCTCCCCATGATACTGGAAGAATCATGTGGCCAGCAGGAAAGACCATATACGGGCAAGTTGCTAGGGCAGAGGGAATTTAACCAATGGGAATCCACGATTCCCAGCGCGTCCACGTTACCAGATGGTATAAGAACCCTGGAACAAGGGGCGGGGACGCGCGCGCTAGAGCTGGACGCTTGTCGCCTAACACCGTCCGCAGAACATACTGAGCCTTCGGGGCACGACTCTGCCAGGGTGCGAGGCGCACCACTGAAATAACGGAGGAGGATGAAGTCATAGTGGCAGTCCACTAGACAGGGCATGTAAGTACTTGCCAATGGTCGGTCACGGTCACAGTCGCACAGCCTAAGGCTGTATTGTACTTAGGCATTTACTCTGGTCAGCCAATTTAAGTGCAACATAGAATAGTTAGTAGTAAGTAGGAGAGTGAACGTGTGTAGGCAGGAGCCGCTGTAACACTACGCTCAGGCGGGACACGCCAGACGGAGCCCGAGGCCGGAGGCGAGACGGCCACGGCCCTCGGTCCGAACGAGTAGCGAGTGGGACATCGGACCCAACACCACCACTGGTGTGTGGGCTTAATCACACGTACCAGCACGGCTAGAGTAGCCAAAGAATCCTTAATGCCTGCCATGCGTAACTGTAGGGTTGGAGTTAGGACTACATGTATTAGGGTAGGTGATGATGGCGCCTTGTAGGCATTGTATCAGTGTGTAACCATTTATTTTCTATATTTCCACATATTATATTTCTATATTGAAGCTGTTTGTATACTTGAGGAGGCTGTGGGAACCAATACCCTTGCACCCGCCTTGTTCCTGATCTGGCAAGAGATATCCACTGGTGACCCCAGGGGGAGAGGTGAGGTAACCACCCCCACCCCCCTGCGGCACAACACTATTAACAGAAGCCTTGAATTATGCAAATATTGACCCGCAGTGGCGACATATCACACGGGGCAATCTTGAGGAATTTGCCACACCAGAGGCCTTGAAAATTCTCAGACTTTCTTCTCAACACGGTCAACACCTGTTTGCTCACGATAGGACACAACAGTTAGGGTGACTTGGTCTTCTTCTACTCCTTATCGGAAAGTCGGTGACAACGGCCGGATATGAAGGATGGGTGAATAACAGACTAAGAATTTTCAGAGGTGTTCTTGGTATATCTGAAGACGAGTTTATTTGGGTACTCAGATCATCCCCACCTCAAAGAGTACTTGCATCCCTCAGCACATTTCTGAGTGCCAACCAACCGCTGCGAACAAGAATATTTCATGTTTGCTTGAGAGCTGCAGCTAGCAAGATGAACATCACTACGCAAATATTCACCACAGTGCTTTGTTTATTAAGAGGGGTGGAAATGAACCACCTTCTTCTTATTGACTACTATTTTCTGACAAAGTATCCTGAGATCTTGAGAATCAGAGTTGTACGAGATAATATGGCTAGATTTAACTTAGCATTGGCCTATCTTTCTTCATTACCTGAAACTGACCGAATGTACGTCAAAATACTGAAGTCTCGTATCAATACTGCAGTCCTTAATAGAAATAATTTCGGAATGATGGCGAATGATCCGTATGCAGCTGCAAAATATGAGAACCCATCCATGAAGAATTATCGTGGTGGACAAGAAACATCTGCTGGTGGGCATATTGACAAGGTTGTAACGACCTATTTGACAGTGATGACCACCTTATCGATCAGTGCTATGGTTCGATCCCCATTTGCATATCTTTCTATTGAAGAAAGAATATTAGTAGAGAATGA